TCCTCCACGATATTCAACAAACAGCATGATCATTGTTGAATCTCCCACCAATGACATTCTGGGTGCTGGGGTGCGGAGATCAACATAGGTCCGAATTGGATCAACCATGCAAACACTGTGGTTACAAGCACAGGTCAAAGACTGGGTATTCTAGGGACAGTATGTCATTTCCTGAAACCCCAATGCCTTTTGCACTATCTGTAATGCAAATTAAGGAATACTCCCCTTATGCCTGGATGTGTGCATCCTCAAAAGTAAAAGAATCTCTATATCACCCAGGAGAAAACAGCTGGATTGATTGGCATTCCATCATTCACCGCCACTTTAAACTTGCATTTTATCAACCCAGCACTCCATGTGCATAGTGTTGTACCATCTACACGATGCACTGTAGCAACGTACCAAACCTTACTCGACAGCATCTTCCACCTGGAACGACAAGGGTAGGAATAACATGAAAACATCACCACCTCCCATTTCCCTTTCAAATCATGCACAACATTGAAACAGAATTACAGAACATTCTCATCATTGTCAATGGATCAAAATCCTGCAACTCCCTATCTAATGAGGCAGTTATCTACACAACATACGCAGCTTTAGTTCAAGAAGTTGGCACATCACCCCTTCTCAATGATAATTACAGATGTGCAATAATATAGCAGTGCCAGGAATACTGAATGATTCCATGAATGGACAATAAAAAATAAGTTTTTACAATTTCTTACATTCATCCCAGTGAATCACTTTTACCATCACTCCACAGGAGGCAATTTTTCTTCAACATAAAATTTTGAATTTGTCTGTTAATTCAATTTGGGCTGTTGTTTGCTTATTATTTTCAGTATTTATTCATCCCCTATGTTCCATTTAGATCTTTGAAGGTATTCCAGTTGTCTTCTCATTGCTAACCTATTTTCCCAAATTCCTCCAATTTTTCCTTCAAATTCCTCCTTCATCTGAGTCATAAAATGGACAGAGTATTTATTGTGTTTTCTGAGGGTTTTTTTTGAATTCATTTAATGCTATCATTATCCTAAGCTACAAATGCAACTGGCTGTCCTGGCAGTCACAATTATACTGTACAATTACAGGATCAGCTACATAACAACATATTAGGATTAAAAGATTTTAATTTTCACAACCATTAAGACCCGTGTGAAGTTACATATCATTTATATCTCTACAGTTTTTCAGGAGTATTTGGGGCTGGACAAATTATTTCATTCACAAAATACAACAAGGAATGAAATTGTTTTCATTGCAGACAGTAACCAGACAGTATTTTGTCAGAATCTCCTGGTTCTATACCATAGAAATTAGTAATGTTTTGGTTTCAATTACCTGGGCTCTGCACGTTTACTGTCATGCTGGGCTGTATGCACATCATTGAAACAGGCCTTTGAAATCCTGAACCAGTTGGGATAAATCAAATCATGCTTGTGCTTTGTTCAGACTCATGACGTATCATTTAAAATTAACTATATCAGGCACTGATGGCAGTAAGGAAACAAAGGGGAATAGAAAGCCACCTCACTTTCAAGTAAGGAAGGAAAATGTACTGTTGTAACTACATTGGACAGAATTTTGTATTCCTCCATGAATTGGTTTGCAGGCAGAGAAGTTTGGTGATTTTTTTTGGTGAATTTCCTGTTGCCTACCCACCTGCTCTAACCTTGTCACAATTTTGGAGACAAGTGAGACCTGGGTTCACTGGCTCACACCCCAGTTAAGGCCCATAAGAGGCCAAATAAAGGTGAACCCACATCGGACAAGGGAAGGTTGCAGATGCCTGACAGGTTGTACTACTTCCATAGGCTCCCAGCTGCACTCTTGCAATATGCATCCCAATCAGATAGCTGGCAGCTCTCAGAAGCAGAAATCTTTTCCAGGTGAGGTCAGAAAATCATCAGAGCCTAATTAACAGGGCAGTCATTGGGGAAAAAGTTCAGTAGGCTGCTGACTTTTCCAATGATGGGCAGGAACCTCTACCACAAACGTTTTGCTCAAAGAATGTAGAGCACCAAAACAGGCCTTTCAGCAAAAGAAATCCATGCTTGTATTTAAATTCTACATGAATCTCCTCCTATTTTCAATCTGATTCATTACAGCCTATCAACGTACCTTTAAATTCCTGTTTTCTCTAGTGATTACCCTAATTTCCTTTTGAAAGAATATAAACAATTTGCACTTACAATGTCTTGTGGTAAAACCACTACTGAGCAAAGGCATTTCTCCTTACTTCTTGAATCTACTGGTAACTAATTCTTATTTATGAAGTTACTTTTTAATTTCTCTCAAGTGGCAATAGTCTCTCCAAATTTATGCATTGATTGGACAGGGTAATTTGGTTTTATTAACCTTTCCCGATAATATTTCAGTTCTGGTCTCAAAATTGTAAGTTTTTTAAAAACTTTCTGCAGTTATTGTGTCATTAAATATGTGAAAAGAAAGTTGTCTTAGTCACAGGGAAAGTGCAATCCTCAGTAATGCATTTTATTAACTCTTACCAGCGTTGTATTTGCTTGCAGCATATCAATGGATGAACCTAGGAAACTTTCCTAAGTCCGATACAATGGAGCAACTCCTTCGTTAGTCATTGTTTCTATTTAATATTCTGTTTAAATGAACATTGCATGCCGAGTGATCAGTAGTGGTGTCTTAGATGATAGAATGGACCTCAATTTCCTCCTCAGGACATAAGGAATAGGAACAGGAGCAGGCCATTCGACCTCTTGCATGGAAGTGTTGGGCTGAAAGCCCTGTTTCTGTGCTATATACTTTTATGACTCTTGAACCTCGTGTGCTATTCAGTAAGACCTAAATTATCTTTTTATGAAGCACAGGATCTCATTGTCCAGTTTATCATAAAGGTTGCATTATTAAGGCCAGGAAAGAGACTATCAGAGAGGTAACTATCGGCACAGATAGGGATATAGACCTTAGACTGAAGATGCAGGAGGAAGAAATTGTGACACAGCAAGAGCAGATCCCAGTCTTTGCTGTCTTATCTCCACAGTAAGCCTAGCATAGGAACAGCAGCAGACCATTCAATCCATCGAACCTGCCATGCCATTCAATACAAATGACTGGGGAGGTACCTGTATAACACTGATCGATTTCTGATTACCAATCTCTACTCTAGACATACTCAAAAACTGAGCTTCCACAGTCTTCTGTGGAAGAGAATTCCAAAGAGTCATGACCCTCAAAATAAAAGAACAATTTCATCCCAGTAGCATTCCACTTTTCAAAATTATGCTACTAGTCTAGATGTCCCAACCATGGTTATCAGAAGATTTGGCATAACTGTTGAAAGACTGCTCTGCATCTGACTACACCATTGCACCGATACACTCTATTCTCCTGATACCAATTATATCCAGCATGGTCTCCTAGCAAGTTAACAGAAGCAGTAAACCTGAAAGTACTTCTCTCATCCCTATTTGCCACTTCCCATTATAAACCAAAGTAGTGTAGAGTTCTGGAAACATCAAGAACATCACATTACAGCAAATCCTATTTTAATTATCTCCCCACTAGTCAAATTGGTCTACCTCAATTGTGGATGAAGGATTATCTCAGGTTTAACCACACAGCTTGCATAAAGTTTTGGCAAAGAGCTGTAGCTCGGGTTGTGGATGAGGTTGTTGACTTGCTCGCCGAGCTGGCTTGTTTTTGTTCAGACATTTTGCCACTATGCTAGGTGATATCATCAGTGGAGCCTCCAATGAAGCGATGTTATTCTACTCCACTTGGAATTTAAACTGTCCGGACCGTTATGGTGAGTACTGTCATTTCTGGTTTTGATCTGTATGGGTTAGTACATGGAGTCCAATTCTATATGTTTGTTGATTGAAGTATGGGTGGAGAACCATGCCTCTAGGAATTCCCATGCGTGTCTATGTTTGGCTTGGGCTACTATGGTTACTTTGTCCCACTTAAACTGATGGCCTTCGTTGTCTGAATGTACATATGGAATTGGACCCCATATACAAACGCATACAGATCAAAACCGGAAATAACAATACTCACCATAACGGACCAGACAGTATAAATTCCAAGCGGAGTAGAATAACATCGCTTCATCGGAGGCTCCACTGATGATGTCACCGAGCATGGTGATGAAACATCGGAACAAAAACAAGCCAGCTTGGAGAGCAAGTCAACAACTTCATACAGCTTGCATTCTTGAAATCCTGTTTTGAGTTTCCATCCAGATGTCCTTTCCACCAAAGTCACAAATTTACAATTCTGATGAAAGGTCATTGGTCATAGGCATTGTGTCTGATCCACTGAATATTTCCAGCATTTTATGTTATTTCAGATTTTTACCTTCATTATTTTGGTTTTGTATCATTGTACCCAACAAACTAAACAATAACTATTTATTAACAAAGCAACAATGCTCAAAATAGAGGAAGAAGAAAACCATCAGAAAGGATGCTAGAAACAGGATGAAAAAAATAAGAACAAAAAAGAAGAAAGATTGAAATCCAGTTGCTGAACCAATGACGACACCTCAGAAGCATTTCATTGACTGTGAACCAAATGGGAATGTCCTAATGTTATGAAGATTGATTTTAAAAAGCTCTGTTGTTTTTTACCTTTCTTTCTCACTGGCATTTTCTTCTCTTGCAACCTTTTCACTCCTTCCTTTTTTCCCCATCTTCTCTTTCCTTCTCATTCTCTCACATTTACATAGGAGTTTCACAACTTCCACATGCTGCACAATTCTCCTCCGGCATTTAAATATTTCTCAGGTGTAGTCACAGCAATTGCTTTGAAAGGTCAGGAACTAGATTTTAATCACTTGTGAAATACAAACTATCAATAGATGAAATCAATCCAAAGTGTTTAGTTATAAGAAGGTGGAATTTAGTAAATACTTTCATGAGATGGACTGAGGATGATCAAGAAAGCAACTCACCAACCACACCAAGAGCTACAAGTGCTGGCCTGTTCATGAATGGGTGTTGTAAAGGAATGGAAGCAAAACGTTTTCTTTTTTAAAGTAATGAGCTTTTAATAATAATATTTGTGTAAGAAGAGTCCTCATGCTTCAGTTTCTACTTGCAAGTCGGGAGAAGGAGAACAGCATTGCGGTCTGATATTCCAAAGTACTGGCGGGGTTTGGAGCGATAGGCGTCTTTGATGGTTGTGTAGCAATGGTCAAGGATATCTGGACCTTTGGTGGGACAAGTGATGTGTTGATGGTATTTGGGAAGCACACTCGTGAGATTGGCCTGGTTGAAGTTACCGATTACAATGAACAAAGCCTCGGGGTATTCCATCTCAAGGCTATTTGTAGTGATGCAAATTTCATGAAGCGCATTCTTCACTTCTGCATCGGGTGGGATGTAAACTGCTGTTATAATAGCAGAGGTGAACTCCTGTGGCAGGTAGGGAGGACAACACTTCACCATTAGATATTCAAGGTGCAGAGAGCAGTAACTCACCAGGTTCACCACATCTAAGCACCAAGAGTTGTTGATTAGGAGGCAGACCCCACCACCCGTTCCCTTGCCCAAGGCGGCTGAGCGGTCCATCCGGTGAATTGAGAAACCCTCAGGTTGTAAGATAGAGTCAGGCGTAGCACGAGTGAGCCATGTCTCTGTAAAACAGAGCACACAGCAGTCTCTCAATTCCCTTTGAACTGTAAGTCTAGACTTAAGTTCATCTAGTTTGTTTTCAATAGCTTGGATATTTGCCAGGAGTATGGTGGGCAGGGGGGACTTGAAACCACGTTCTTTTGCTCTTGTCTGCAGGCCAGCACGTCTCCCACGTTTCCTGGGTTTCGGACCTTTCAGCTGTTGAGGGAGATCTGCTGTTCCGGAAGGTACGTGGTTGTGTCCGGTGGGGTCCTGGACAATGGTTGCAGCCTTCAGGAGGTCAATGGGATCGGGTAGGTCAGGCCTTTGAGAAGCCTGTAAATGTATGGTCTCTGTGGGCACGTGATTGTTGCTCCACCGTTGGCAGTCCAGCCCCATCGGTTCATTCGGTCGGGCACTCCAGGTGCTGCTGGTTGTTCTCGTAGGTCGAAGGATCTCCAGACCTGAACATAGATTTGAAACCATTGTTAGTAATTCTGACACTCAAAATTGAGGTTTAAAAGAACAGACTGATAAGAGATATAAGGAAAAGATCTGCTGGGGACAGCTCACCAAAGAATTGCCACACTCCAGTGCTGTCTTGGCAACATGGTGATTTCTGGCAATCCCCATGCCCCCCTGCATCCTTCCCCACTAACCATGTGGCCAGGGATCCAGTGGTGATCCTGAGGCTGGAACGTTACCAGGCAGCAGCCACTGGACCCATTAGCACTGCATGCAGTGGGGAGCTGCCAGCAGCTATTGGGGCCAGGATTTCGGACCGTCTGTTGGTTTGATACCCTGACACTGGCCAGTTGGACATTTAAACAGCACTCTCCACAAAAGCAACACAGGGTCCCTTCCCTGCTCTGACTAGTGGGTTCCTGCTTCTTGCACTAAATCCTGGCCAGAGGCAGGCCTAAGGCCACTATGATATTCCAAAAAGAATAGAAAAATATTATTTAATGGAAATGGACAATGTCACTGTATTGTTAATGTTCCACTGAACTGAGCAAAAGATGCTGTGGTTAGTATTACCCTGGAAATTACATATGCTGGTAACTGAAATGAAGGTGAGCAAATATATTAAGTGGACAGATTTTGACATTTCATTTATTGGTTGAATAATTTGGCATTGCCAGTTATGGAACAGACCCAACACCCTCAAAATATTTTAAGAAGGGAAACTAGACCCTAACTGTTTCTTATTTTAAAGGTTAATGTGAAGTGCATGTTCCAGATGTGATGGAACTGGTCAAACTACTTGATGTTAAGCAAAACACAATTTATCTAAACACTATTGTTAAGAGTCATTTAGAATAACAACCATCGAAAAATTCAACCAAATAACAGATCGGTACCTATTACTAACTAACTGGTCCAATATACTAACATCCCATAAACATACCCTTTGGCAAAAAGGTAAATTTAGACATAGATTCTTACATGCAGTTCTACAATCCAGGAGGAAACATTAACAGAGATTTCACAGTAGCAGCTAGGAATCCTTTACTGAAGCTCCAATCCTGCTGGGACCCAAACAGCTTCTGATTGCTACAGCTAAAATAAACTAGAAAGCCTGATTAAGAGAACTGGCCACTTCCCTTCCATTGTTAGAACTGTTTGAAAAAAACTAAAGGTCTCCGAAATTATTGACTTAGGCCGTTTGCAGTGGCCACTTCGAGACCTCTGCCTTTACAACCTCTCTTCAAAACAAAAACAACCCAGGGCAAAGCAACCTTTTTAAAGTGACAGCATTATCAAACTGCCCATGTACTCGACCTCAAGAATAAGTTGCAAAAGGGTAGGCACTTTGCATACGAGATAATAGTTTTGCTTCTATGAAAAAAAATTATAATAATAATTTTGCAAGCTTTAAATTCTGCAATGCAAGTGGAGTGAGAGTGAGATTTACTCCCACAATGGAGATCTGTTCAAAACTACTTCCCTCCTACCCAGTTTTTTTTGTTTTTAAACACAGAATTGAGGTACTCTTGCAGCAAAGTATGCTCAAGAAGAATTTAAACATATTAGAATGTTGTGCTGAATTTACCAGAATTGACTAAATGTCAGTTTTAGGGAGTTTCATGAAGGGTTTCTCTGTGAGCTCTAGTGAGCCCCACTGCTCACCACATTACGTATGTACCATGCCTGCCATATTATGCACTCACCATTACCAGGACCATCTGGCATGTGTCTGCTTGGCACCATATGTAATCGCAATTGTGAACCAGGTCAATCACAGAAAGCCAGGAACTGCCATTCACAGTGTGCTGCTGCATAATTCTAAAGGACATGACTGAGAAAGGGAAGTCGGTAGCCTGATCTGTTGACAGGGAAGTGGAAGGTCTGCTGAATTGCGTGGTAGAGAGGAAAGTCATCCCCTTCACTCAGGAATGCCAGAGTTGGCCATGGCAGCAGATGCTGCCAGCCTGGTCTGAAGTTGCCCACCAGGTCCGTGCAATGTTTATGGTCTGGAGGAATGCCCAAGGCAGGAAGAATGTTGATGACATTCTCTGTTTTGTAAGAGTAAGTGCTACTTTCTCTTTGCAGACTTACATTCACCCTAACTCTGCCAATGCAACCACCTTTCACCAAAGCTCATGGTCCACCACTCTGTCACCATTGTATGTAGCATCTTTGATCAATTGCTCCCACCCATCCCAACACCTCCCCACTGATTGATTTATTGTCACGCGTACCCAAGTACAGTGAAAAGCTTTGTTTGATTAGCAGTGCAGGCAGGTCATAGTAAGCAAGGATGTACAGATCAGGAGGTTGTAAAAAGACAGAGGCATACAGGTTACATTGCACAAGGCCTGCACTCGGCAAGATCAACATTAGCAAGATCAGCATTATTTGAGGCTAGAGTCCATTCATCGGTCTATTAACAGCTAGGAAGAAGCTGTTACAGAACCCGCTGGTGCACGTGTTCAGGCTTCTATGTCTTCTGCCTGAGGGAAGGGGTTGTAGGAGCTCATTACCGGGGTGCAATGGATCTTTGCTGATGTTGGCAGCCTTTCCGCAGCAACGAGATGTGTAAATGGAGTCTTTGGATGCAAGGTTGGCTTCTGTGATGGTTTGGACTGTGTACACCACCTTCTGTAGTTTTTTACATCTTGGGCAGAGCAGCTGCCAAACCAGGCCGTTATGCACCTGGACAGTATGTTTTCAATGGTGCATCCGTACAAGGTGGTGAAGCTCCTTATGGACATGCCAAATTCCCTGAGCCGCCTGACGAAGAACAGGTGTTGTTGTGCCTTCTTGACCATTGCATGTGTGGGAAGTCCAGGACAGGCTGTTGGTTATCACCACTCCGAGGATCTTGACACTCTCCAGCCTCTCAACCTCAGTTCCATTGATGTAGATGGGGGTGTGTTCTCTTCCTTTCTTTCCGAAGTCAACAATTAGTTCTTTAGTTCTGTCAATGTTGAGAGATAGGGTGTTTTCATCACACTGCATCACCAAGTCCTCTATCTCCCTTCTGTAGTTTGACTCGTCATTGTTAGATATCTGTCCTACTAAGGTGGTGTTGTCAGTGAATTTGTAAGTGGCGTTTGTTTGGAATTTGGCAACAGTCCTGGTTGTACAGGGAATACAGTGAATACAGTAGGGGGCTGAAGACTCATCCTTGAGGGCACCAGCGTTGAGTGTTATTGTGGAGGAGGTGCAGTTACCTATCTTTACTGATTGCGGTCTGTGGCTCAGAAAGCAGAGATTCCAGTTGCAGAGGGGGGAGCTGAGACCAAGGTCACGGAGTTTTGAGATCAGTCTGGAGGGGATAATGGTGTTGAAGGTAGAGCTGTAGTCAATGAGCAGGAGTCTGGCATAGGTGTTCCTGTTGTCCAGATGTTCCAGGGATGAGTGCAGGGCTAGGGGTATGGCATCCACAGTGAATCTGTCACGTCAGTAAGCAAATTGTAGGAGATGAAGGAGGCTGGGAGAGTGGAGTTGATGTGGGCCATGACCAGCTTCTTAAGACACTTTGTGGTTATTGAGGTCAGAGCCCTGGGCAATAATCATTTAGACACACTGCATGTGTTTTCTTACGTACAGGGATGATGGTGGTCTTCTTGAAGCAGGTGGGGACTTCGGCTTGTAGGAGGGAGAAGTTGAAGATGTCAGTGAATACCTCTGCCAGTTGGTCCACACAGGATCCAAGTGCTTAGCCGGGGACACCGTCTGGGCCCGTCACTTTCCTTGGGTTGACAGCCAGGAAGACCAATCCAATGTCTGCAGTGGTGACTGAGGGAACAGGTGTGGCCAAGGATGTTGGGGCAGGCGTCACCACGCCACTGGCATTCTGTTCAAACTGAGCATAGAAAGCAGTCTACTAGTTGTACATGCCCTCTGCATTTCCTACTCGTTCTCTTATAATACCTCGTGACTTTTCCTCCACCTGCACCAACAGTAATAGCTGTGCCAGCCAATTTCATCCCTTACAATCCTTCCCTCCACTCATTTCAGGAGAAAATAGCCCATGAGGGAACAGTGTGCCAAGATGGATGGGGGGGGCGCGCAACATTTATCTCCTCCACCCCCCGAGAAGATCCTTGCCTTAGCGGGAGAGGATCATGACCGCTCATGTATTGATATCAAGACCTCCATGTCCTAGGTGACCAAGCAAGATTCACGATACTGACAATGAGAGAGCAGCACAGCAGTTGAGTGAATGTCCTCTGTCAAATCCAGAGAAGGTGCAGCACTGTAACATGGTTAGGCAAGATTTTGTATGAATCTTTAGGTAGCTTTTTTAATACAGTGACCAAACATACACAAAACAATTCTGATGGGATCAGTACAATTTATTCTTTACAGAAAAATACTAAATGAAAAACATGCCACATTTGCCAGTGATCATGTTCAACTTGATCAAAGTAACCTAACGACACTTGAACATTACTGTTGACTTCAAAGAGTAAATTAGACAGTGTAAAGTGGTTGCTGATTCCTCACCACCTATTTTGCACCTCTGCTAAACACAAATTTCAAACCCTTCATCTTACATAATAAGAAATGTGATTTTGCTGAATCGTGCAAATAGTGCCATTTCACCAGAAAAAGTTTATCAGAATTTTTTAATAACAGAATAGGTACACTACACTCAATTAATTCAGTTGTCCCGGAGCCAAAACCTAAAACTTATACTGAAGAATTTTAGTCTGGTTATTCTGCTTGACATTAGTAAACCTGCAATCAGACTGAAGTATTCTCAGGTATTAGTATTTCCGATTGCCTCACTCATTAAACAGTAAATTTTAATTTTTAGCAAGCAATCTTGCAGGCAAGACTGGAAAGTGATTTACGTTTAAGTATGGTTTATGATTAAGTCTTGGATAACTTTAATAAAAATGCCCAACATTAGCACTTGAAAATTAAACAGATTTGGTTTGATTCATTTAACTTTGAATAACTACTTCAATGGGCATAGATTATCTAAATTACCAGGAGTTTAAGTGATTAT